TTTTTTTTTTTTTTGTTTTTTAATTACTGTGTTTTATTAAGAATATAAACATAGAATGTACAGTGGGCTTGTTCATCAAGATTTCAGCTTCTGAAATATGAAAAAAAAATAATGAATAATTTATTCATTAAAAAACTGAAATAATATTAAGATAGATTTTCTTATCAGATAGAACAATCTACATGGTGTTAAGTGTTGTACGCACTTTTCCGACCGCCCGTTCTTATTATCATCACTAACAATTTTACATTTTTTTGTATAACATCTCAATTTAAAAACGGGGATAGTATTTGCATTAAATACATTGAAATTACATTAAAACATATGTACCTGCATGTTTAAGCAGAGAGTACACAGACCCCTCCAACAGCCTTAACTTTGTCTTCTGCCAGTTTACTGAAAAATTTGGCTTTAACAATGACTGGCTGTTTAGGAAGTCGCCCTTTTCCTAGAAGTTTGTAATATCCCTGAAAAATTAAATACAAAATAGAGAAATAAATTTAATGTGCAAATTGTGAAAATATATACATGTATACTTATATTATTTGTAACTTACCGCTTTGACAAGATCAATTACTGGAACTTTATTTTCGGAATCCTTATATTTAAGTCTCGTTTGTTCAGAAACTAATGTCCATAACTTATCCAAATTTAAAGTAGGACACCATTTTGTATTACGTCTTAAGTGATAATTTCGCATACCCAGCTGTAAAATGAATTTAAAATTAAATACTAGTCATTTTCAATTAATACACATTTGATATTTGTACAATTCATCAAAATACTAGGTGCATTCAATTGAATTCAGTTCGCCAGTGAATAGTAAAATTATCATCATTTGATGCATGTTATTATAAATTCCTTATAAAAATATGACGAATATATTTACCTTCCCAAAATAACCAGGATGGTATTTGTCAAAGTTAATACGATGATGGTGTAAACCACCAGCATTACCACGTCCACCAGGATGTTTCCTGTGCTTACCTAAAATATAATATAATAATAATTAATTTAATGCTATTTAAACTTTAATTATTTTTATTAAAATAAAACTTGAATTTTACCATGATTTGTACAAGATCATACCTATACGCCCGTGTCCGTGGCTTACGTGCCCACGAAGTTTCCTGGTCTTCTTTTTATGTGTAGCCTATCAACAAAAAACAAAGTAAATAAATTATATTATAAAGTTATTTATACAAATTTAATAAATCTCAATGTTTTGTCATGAAGGTTATGTTTGTATCTTAACGTGAAACTGCAAAGTTATCAATAATTAGAATTAACATTTAATTATTCTACGAAAAAAATAATAATTTTAAAAGAATATTTAATAAATTTTGAGTAAAATTATAATTTTTATTATTTTATTTATACAAAGATGCTTTCAACAATCGCAGATTGCTGACAAGCAACTCAGATATCACAAACTCACCATCTTGATCGCAACGTAAAGAAAGAACACCGTTCGTTCTTTACCAAAATTGTTAACTTTTGCACTTCAGATGGCGTACGTGTGCTCTACCATTTAATCATAAAATAACTGTTAAGATAATAACAGAAACTACTAATAGTATAATATATATAAAAAATTTCAGCTTAACTTCTGTTAAATTAAGCTGTTAACTATCAATACCAGAAATAAGTTATTTTAAATTTTAAATTATACATAAACGAAAGAAACAATATACATACTTTGGTTAATTATTCAAATTTTCATGTAAACTACATTTTATGTTTTCCAGATTATTTTATATTTAAATATATTAACAAAGTATCTGTAGAAATTATATATTTCATGAAATGAAAGTTGAAATAATAATATGAGACGAATATTTCTTTTATCAATAATTATTGTCTTGAAACACTTGTCGCACATACGAAGTTAACTTTAATCTTCATGTAATGTACATCTTGCAAAATTGTAATGATATATGGTTTAGTTGTGCACATAGTTGTGCAAACCGGATTGAGAGGATAGGAGTTTGCAAGTTTCGTATAATTTATTTGTAATCGTTTCAAAATTACTTATATTTGGAAGCGATATTTAATCTGTTCATAAAAAGAATTTTATTAGTGAAACAATAACGAAATTATTAAAAAACTGAACGTACATCAGGAAAACCTTAAAAGTAGATCAAGATGCAGGAATCTCAACCGAAGAGAGGCAAGAAAGGTAAGGAAACAGTGACATAATTAATACATATATGTAATTGAATAAAAATAAAATAATAATACTTCGAATGTATACATATACGTTTATGTTTCAATTAAATTTTTATCATTTTTTCCTTATATGACGAATGTCGTCTGCTTTCACTTAACCTCAACTTAACCACTTTTGTGTTACATACGGAAAGGATAATAACGTACTTTTAGTTCTTTTTTAACATTTGTAATTTGGCAAATTGAAGCTTATCTCGTCTACCTTCTGTATTCATAAGAAGTTTCAAATTTTTAGTGATTTATAAAAATCATTATAATACTTTGGTATTATGGAACATATTTCATAACTTAAAAATAACATGATCTCTTATTTTTATTGAATATGAACTCACTTTGAATGGTGTAGATCACGTGTTAAATATTATATTTATTAAATGTTTAAGGAATGTATTGATTGCCAATTTCTGTATAAGGTGAAAGTTGCTTGGTTACAAATTAAATAGTGAAAGTTACAAACATTATGAATGCCACATACTGTTTCAAATACTTTGTTACTATAGTTAATAATTTTTTAAATAAAATATAAAAATTTGTTTTATTTGATCATTTATTATATATCAATCCATGTAATATACATATTGATGCACAAATGTAATTTTTTAATCAGTTTAATCATTTTTATAATATTTGAAGATAAACATTGATTTTTCATAATATAAAGAGCGGGCTGTGAATGTTTTCTTTATATAAGTATCTATAAGAAAATATTATAGATTATATAACATGTCGAAGTTATAATGGAATCAAAATATATTTTTACAACTCACATTTATATTTAGCCAGAAGAAAGCGTAATGATAGTGAAGAAGATATCGAAAAAGTTTTGGCCGAATTGGAATTGGAATATTCTGGACAAAAGGAGGAAGTCAAAGATAAGCCAGTCGAACCAAAACCTGAAGATGAAGACAAAAAGAAAAAAGGAAAGAAGGATAAGAAGAAAGAAAAAAATGAAATCATCGATATTAAAGAAGAGTTGAAGACTAGTGAAATCCTTGAAGCAAATGATATTGATGATGAGATGGAAAGTGGAACTGTAAAAACTGCTGCACAGAAGAAAAAGGAAAAGAAAGAAAGAGAAAAGCAAAAGAAACTTGCCCAGAAAAAAGCTGTATGTACTTTTAACTATTATGTTTGTTATATGTATAATATTATGATTTATTATATTTAAATTAATCAATGATAGGAAAGTGCTAAAAAAGGAGAAAATGAAGAAGGAAAGCCTGCAGATACAACAGAAAAACAAATAAAAAAGGAGCCAGAAGTAAAGGTATCGGAAACAAAAAGAGTAGAATTAAAGGAGATAAATGAAGCAGATGTTTCTGCAACTGGTGAAGGTGATGAGGGAAAAAAGAAGAAAAAGAAAGGCGCAAAAGAAGAACCAAAAGAGAAAGGTAACAAATAGTTTTATGATTCCTTTAGCTTAACAAATTAATGTAAGTTATATTTGTTAGGATATAACATTAATTTGTGTCTACATTTAGTATAATTAGATATGTGCAATAGGCAAAGGTCCTGGGAAGAAGACTATTGCTGCAATGCAAGAAGCTTTAAAGAAATTAAAGGAAGAAGAGGAGAGAATGAAACTAGAAGAAGAAGAAAGACTACGTCAAGAAGAATTGAGACAACAAGCTCATTTGGAACAACTAAGGCTTGAACAGGAACGAAAGGAAAGGAAAAAACTTAAAGAAAAGCAAAGAAAAGAAAGATTAAAGGCAGAGGGGAAACTTTTAACAACAAAACAAAAACAAGATAGAGCTAGAGCACAAGCTATGTTGAATGCGCTTAAAGCTCAAGGTTTAGATTTACCAGGTGTAGGGGAGAAGAAACCTAGACCAGGTAATTACAATACTCTGGCATAAGAAGTAATACTTATAGAAATAGATTTCAGTATGTAAAAAAATATCATTTTAGGAACTCGTATAAGACCGAACAAGGTAAAACAGCAAACGAGTGTCGATGAAAAAGACAATGAGAAAGTAGAAGAAAGTGTACCAGAGGCAGATAGAGTCGAAGTAGAAATTATAGATCAGCAGGTTAAGGAATTTGAAGAAAAGAAAGATGATGTCAAAGATTCATGGGATGCTGAATCTAGCGAAGATGAACAGGACGAAGGTATCAATTATGTATAATTACGAGTATGTTTTCAAACATATTCAATGAAACATTTTTTGATAGAAGATAATTTAATAGATAAATTAGATGATGTGCCAAAAGCTCCCAAAAAGATTAAGGATACATTTTTCTCACTGAAGAAGGAAAAGCAATCACAAATTGAAGAAAGTAAAAAAGAATCGTCGGAAAGTGAGTCAGAAAGCGAGAGTGGTAGTGAATCAGAGACAGAGGAAAGCGAAGATGACAGTGGGTTAGAAGACAAAGTATCGGATGCAGCAAAGAAAAAGGAACGAGTTAGAGAACGAATACATCTTCGGAGAATGGAAGCGGAAAAGAAAAGATCGTTAGATAATCTTAGAGCTGCTGTAGTATGCGTTTTAGGTCATGTCGATACTGGGAAAACAAAAATTCTCGACAAGTTGAGGAGAACGAATGTACAAGACGGTGAAGCAGGCGGTATAACACAACAAATTGGCGCCACAAATGTACCTATCGATGCTATTCGAGAATCAACGAAACACGTGAAAGGAGTAAGTTATTTTTTATATGCTGTATACATTGAACTCGTTAACAAAAAGTAATAATTTTTTGCAGTTTGCCGATAAGAAATTCAAAATACCTGGTCTTTTGATAATAGATACTCCTGGGCACGAATCTTTTAGCAATTTAAGAAATCGAGGATCTTCTCTGTGTGATATAGCGATATTAGTTGTAGATATTATGCACGGTTTAGAACCACAAACTATCGAAAGTCTTAATTTACTGAAGGCAAAGAAATGTCCTTTCATCGTAGCTTTAAATAAAATCGACAGGTACGAAATTTAAAATTAATCGCTACTGGCCCATGTAAATTAAATCCCAAAAAAATAACGGTAACCTGATCATTTTTACAGATTATACGATTGGCAAACTATGAACCGAAAAAATGTTCAGGATATCATAAAAAGCCAGTCTATTAATACACAGCGAGAGTTCGAAAAACATTCGAAAGATGTTATTTTGCAATTTGCTGAACAAGGCCTGAATGCAGCATTATATTACGAAAATGAAGATCCTAGAAGTTACGTATCCCTTGTTCCCACTAGTGCTATCACGGGTAAATATTACGTATTATATCCTTTTTGGATAATTCGTTGTTTCGACGTAATTTCATAAGAAATATATATCGTTATATATCGCATTATTTTTTGTCCAGGTGAGGGTATGGGTAATTTGTTATCGTTAATAGTCGATGCCTGCCAGGGTCCACTAGCTAAAAGACTCATGTACAGCGAAGAGCTTCAGGCTACTGTTTTGGAAGTGAAAGTATTGCCAGGTCTCGGAACTACGATAGATTGTATTCTAGTCAATGGAATGTTGAGAGAAGGCGAGACAATGATAGTAGCAGGAACCGATGGCCCTATAGTGACTCAAATCCGTTCACTTCTTATGCCACAACCGCTGAAAGAATTAAGAGTCAAAGTAAGCATTCGAATTTTGTTCGTAGCGTCTTTAAAATAAAAATAAATTTACGCTGAAACGTCTAACAATAACGCTTTCTTTATGTGATTAATTACAGAACGCGTACATCGAACATCGCGAGGTAAAAGCTGCTCAAGGAGTAAAAATTGCTGCGAAGGATTTAGAAAAAGCAATTGCGGGTAAGCAGTTTATCAAATTTGTCGTGTATCATTGTTAATAATACGAAGAAAAAAATCACCATTTGATATTTGGCAAATAGGATTGAATCTTCAAGTGGCACAAAAACCGGATGAAGTGGACGTCCTGAAAGAAGAAATCGCAAAGGAATTAGCCAGCGCTCTTGGAAATATTCGGCTCGCAGAACGAGGTGTTTACGTGCAAGCGTCAACTTTGGGTGCCCTCGAAGCATTATTGGACTTCCTGAAAAGTAGCCATATACCGGTGAGTTTCATTTACGTTACACGAGTTATTTGTGCAATATAGGTTATGTACTACTCGATTGAACATCGTTCGGTAACAGAAGCGACAAATCGATATTCGATAGATTGGAATCAAATCGATCGAGAAGTAGGAAACGTTTCAACACGTTAGGAAGTTCGTTGGAAAGAAACATTTTAGCTTTTCTTTTTTTTTTTTCATTTATTTGGAGAAGTTAGTGACGTGTGTTCGCGCGGGTTGAACGAAACTTCGCTAAATCTCCTGTGCAATGGCAGAACCATGAAATAGCGCTGAAAGCGTAAGCACGAAAGTAAACTGTGCAACCGGCAGAAAGATCGATGGTGAAGCGGACAGAGAGACCGAAAGCAAACTAATGGGTGAGAAAAAGATGCGCAGTGAGAGGAGTGAGACGAAAAGAGAGAGAGAAAGAGAGAGAAGAGCAGCAACGAACCACTTCCTTCTTAACAGTTTAGCAGGATACGACTCATTGGTCGCATACGGTGTTTGTAGTTGTGATCCATCGTGCTATCAGCCATGTTGTGCATCCGTGAGCACGCCTTATAGGTTTCCACAGGGTGTCTTGTATGTTTCGCGATTTTTCATCTCTACAACCTCGTCCTAAAACTAACGACCTATACGTTTCAAAGCATGTACCCGAAGCCAAGCTTTTACGAATTCATGGAATAGCAGGAAATTAACATTCCGAGGTATTATTCGTTTCACATCCTTCGTAAACACGCAACCTAACCTCTCATTATAATTTTAACGAGAAACCAAGTTTACAGGGAAATCGTGCTGCGATCCTCTAGATATACGACATACGATAGAGACGGAACAAGAGAGACCGAGAGAGCGAGTGAAAGGCAGAGAGAGAGAGAGAGAGAGGGAGAGAGAGAGAGAGAGAGATAAATAAAGATATAGCAAGGGAACGAAAAAGGGAGAAAGAAAAAGAGAGAGAGAGAGGTTTTCTCGTCGAAATATACCGGTAAAATGTTGGACGAGCAGCTGACGCGTTTCGTAGCGCGAATTCTCGGCATTATCATTGCCGTGACTCGTTCGATATTGTCCGAGCGTTTGGATGGTGGCTCGGCAGCGGTGCATCCAACTCGCAGCTCGCACGATAAAGAGGAAAAAAAGGAAAGAGAAAGAAGGAGAGGAAAAAAAGAAAAAAGGAAGCTACGATGGTTCGGTTCGAGGTAACGTCCGAAACGGCCTTAAGCCTGTCCTTCCTCGGATTATGAATGGGTTGCCCCCACCGTATCGTACGATCACGTGGCCCGTGACGTCAGGTTTTATCGCAGGCATACGCGACACACGCACGCATCCAGTCGTAAGTACGGTCCGTCACTCTACGGGCAATGCGGGTATGCTTTTACATATGGCATGCAGGAGGGAGTAGACACCAGCGGGGAACGGAGGCCAGGGGTGTAAGCTTCTCTCTTTCCATCTCACCTCTCTCCTCTTCTTCACTATCGCTTCTCTTCCTCTCCTTCTCCGTCACCCGGCATCCTCCTCCTCCGTCGCCACGGTTCTCTTTCTCAACGAGAAGGAGAAATCGTGGGGTTGGCGGGCTAAACTCACGGGCAGTATATAGAGATTCTCCGAGCAGGCCTCTCTTCTACCAACACAGAGACACGGACGCGTGTGGGCTGGAAAAAGGAATACGTGACCAACGTACAGGAAACTGCCCACACTCGGAGCAAAAGCACCGTGGGTGGACGGATCGACGAACGGGCGGACGTACGACTCGAATCGTAGCCCTGTGTGTCGGTTTATAAGGCGTGTGTTGCGCCAGAGATGAGACACGAATATCGCGCACCGTGCCGAGAGAATGCTCTATCGACTTTCAAATTGCCTGCACTCTTCCTTTTTTATTATCCTAATAATTATGATTATCGTTATTTATCTCTAGACCAACGAGTAGTCTAAGTCTGAGCGATTTTCCACGATGGAGTAGCCTTTCGTCTCAGCCCTGTCGAGGTGCTAATCCATTATCTGGAGTACCGTGTTACCGTATTCTTACCATATTAGCCGTTTGCATACTCTATTGCACCGAAGATGCCAGATGGTCGCCAGTTGACGAAGTTAGGAAGATCAATTTCGTTTTAATTAATTATAATTTGTTATTATAACCCTTTGTTGCAAACGCTGGTACGAATATAGCGATCAGTTCAATTACAGAGGTAATAACGATACAGTCAGGGACAAAATTATAATACAGGTATGAAAATCGGGTAACCGAGCTTTCATTGTCGTAAAATGATCTATGAGTGACAGATCCGAATTTGACAGAAGATATTTGAAGATAGAAACTAGGAAATGCTCGATGTGGAGATTAATTTTCCTTCGGTAACTTCCTTCACCATGACACAGGGTACCATTCTTCATCCGCAAAACCAAATTTGATTCGTCATCGTGTGATCTTTTGTTGCCAAGATGTATCGTCTCGAAGCTAGTCTATTTTTCACATCTGTGAGTAAAAGCATACATTTCTCATCGTCAGTAGGCTATCTTTTTGTCTCCGAGTGTACGATAAAATATAATAATCGCAATAATAATTGTATAATATAACGATATACGAAATAGAATTATAGAGGATGATTTTATTTTATGACATCGTAAAAGGTGTCGTTAATTTTGTATCATTTGTTGACACGGGAGACTTGAAAGACCGATATTTCGATCACGTTCGAAACACGTAATAGATGGCATTATTCGCGTCCTGTATCGAAGAGTAACTCGATTCTCATTTCTATCAGGCGTCATATAGTAATCCCGGGATCGAGGACCGAATGTGAAACTCGCGGTTTCTCATGAACGAATTCGATCCTGGTTTACATAAAATTTAACGTTGCTTCTCTTTCGTCGATCTCGCGGACAGTGTCGCAGCGAGACGCTTAATATTTACGAAGCGAGCCGCCTCGCTTCGGCTTCGAACGCATACGTACGCATATCCGCCCGATTATGACGGCGTTGGCGAATTGAAGATTCTCGCCGAGTATCTTCCTGTTCTCGTCCTGTTTAGACGAGCAGGATCGAAATAAATAGTTTAACCGGGACACGCGCTATTCTTCTTGGAACGAGCCGGGGACACGCGCATCGATTAATAATTACCCACCTTGTTCGTAACATGGTCACGTAGAAATTAACGTTTTACGCCTCGAACGAAAAGATTCTATTTAAAAAAAGCATAACATCGCGTAACATTTTCAATCGCATCCGATCGCACGGATCTCGAAGATCTTAAGCTCTTCCAGTCGTCAACAAGTCTCATAGTTACTTACAAGGGAAAAGAATTCTTTAACTTCACGAGTAAGCGTCCGTCGATTGTTCCAATTAACTCACTAGCGCCACCACGACTCGTATCTACAATAGTCTATCGTAAATATACCTCGTTGAACTATTTTCTAATTTTGCCGCTATAATCTTGCAGTTTTCTTGTTATTACCTATTGTTCGTGCTATATTGTCTTCACAAATTTTTCCGCCGTGCATTTCCAGTTGTTTTTGAATCGAACGACTTCCACGTCTTCGAATTAAAAATCTTGGACTTGTGCAATCATCATTGACGAGTCTCATAATTCCTCGAAGGGAAAAGAATTCTTTAACTTCACGAGTAAGCGTTCGTCGATTGTTCCATTTAACTCACTAGCGCCACCACGACTCGTATCTACAATAGTCTATCGTAAATATACCTCGTTGAAATATTTTCTAATTTTGCCGCTATAATCTTGCAGTTTTCTTGTTACTACTTGCACTGTAGCTCGTGCGATATTGTCTTCACAAATTTTTCCGTCGTGCACTTCCAATTATTTTCGAATCGAACGTCTTCTATCTCTTCGTATCGAAGATCTTAGACCTCTGCAATCGTCAGTGACGAGTCTCAGTTCCTCGAAGAAAAAGGAATTCTTTAACTTCACGAGTAAGCGTTCGTCGATTGTTCCATTTAACTCACTAGCGCCACCACGACTCGTATCTGCGATCGTTGAATTATTTTCTAACTTTACTGATATAATTTTGCAGTTTTCTTGTTATTACCTATTGCTCGTGCTATATTGTCTTTACAAATTTTTCCGCCGTGCAATTCCAGTTGTTTTCGAATCGAACGACTTCCACGTCTTTGAATTAAAAATCTTGGACTTGTGCAATCATCATTGGCGAGTCTCATAATTCCTCGAAGGGAAAAGAATTCTTTAACTTCACGAGTAAGCGTTCGTCGATTGTTCCATTTAACTCACTAGCGCCACCACGACCCGTATCTACGATCGTTGAATTATTTTCCAATTTTTTAAGAAAAAATTCGTTAGAAAAGGAAAAATAAAATAAGATTGCGCGACAGTTGCATTCCGTTCACGTTATCGAACGACTTGCACGAAGATCTTAGACCACTCGTCTCGTCCAAGGCTCTCTAATCGTTTCAAAGCCCCCGGTGATCGCTCGTGGATTTTTCAAAGCGGAGAAAACCGTGGTAAACCACTCGTCTCGTCCAAGACTCTAATCGTTTCAAAGCCCCCGGTGATCGCTCGTGGATTTTTCAAAGCGGAGAAAACCGTGGTCAGAGGACTGGCCTTCCGAATGGAGGAGAGCGGAAGGCAGGTAAATAAAAGTAGAACGCGTGAATTTTTCGAGGAGTCTGCGTGGCATAGTTGTGTTCCGTTGCACGGTGGAACTCGTGCCGAGCGGACGGAGGTGCAGCTCGCTCCTCTTCTGCAGCAGGAAAAGATGGCTCGTTTCCTCGCATTGTTTTTAACCGCGGTATATAAGCAGCTATACCGGGACATGGGAGCGGATATGCGGAGCGCGGACACGCGAGTGCACGCTCTGTCGGCCGTGTGCCGGCATCCTACGATGTACGCGTTTTCACGACGAGAGAAGCCGCTCGGAGATTACCGGCCTCTGAAAAGGAGAGAGAAATAAACGACGTTGACCGGCAATCTCGAAATCTTAACGGAAACTGATTAACGGATAGCGTTTAGTTGTTTTCTGTCAACTCGCCGGTACCAC